TGGGCCTTTGCCTTTCTGCTAGGCGCCAGGAGATATGGCCCCGAGACACGTGGAAAGGATTGTCACGTAGTGTTGTAACCCCCTAGCTGCTCTTTGGGAGAAAGGGAAGGCTGTCCGGTCCCGGAAAGGTTTTTCAAAGCCTCAGAAACTCATCTCAGGCCCTTGAGTCAGAGTCTACTGGATGGCAGTGGGTTCAGTTTTATACACGGGAGACAGGGCCTAGTGGTGCTGTGGCGTAAGCATTGGGTTTTGAATCGTGAGGTTGGAGGTTCAAACCCACCAGCCACTCTGTGGGAGAAGGGTGAGGTTGTCTGTTCCTGTAAAGATTTCCAAACACACTGTTACTGAGTCAATTCTGACCCCATAGGACAGGGTAGAACTGGCCCTGTCGGTTTCCGTGACTGGGAATCTTATTTTTTTAACAGTTTTATTGACACATAATCCACACAGCATACAATCCAATTGTTCAATGATATCAAGAAGAATTGTATAATCATTACCAAAATCAATTTCAGAACATTTTCTTTCTTTCTTTCCTCCCCCACCCCCACAAATAAATAATCTTTAAAATGAGTTGTAATCACATTCAACCAAAGTGCTCACTACGCTGCCCCCTTCATTGTTGACTCCCAAGTCCTCTCAAGGACCGGGAGGAGACCGCCTCATCTCCCCAGGAGCAGCTGGTGGTTTTGAACTGCCGACCTTGTCATTACCAGCCCCATGTGCAGCCCCCTCCTTGGCCAGGGCTCCTTGTAGGGATTTACAGCCTGAGAAATCCACTGCAGGGTCCCCAGGCATCGGCCTGGACTCCGTGACAGTGAACTTGGCTTGAGTTTAGTTTTCTCCACATCTCCTCCGGGAATGCGGCTGCTTTCCGATGTTCATGACTCGATCTGAACAGGTGGTGGTTATGAGGTGCCACGGGGTCGGTTCTGACCCATACTGACCCATGCACAATAGAATAAAACGGCCTGGGCCTGCACCATCCTCACCACTGTTCTTAGGTTTGAGGCCGTCTGTCCATCCCCTGGAGGGCCCTTCCTCGTTTTCACGGCTCCTCTACTCTGCCAGGCATGATGTCCTTCTCCAGGGACGGGTCTGTCCTGATAATACATCAGCTTCTCTGATGATCTGCTCAGCATACAGATCGATTAAGGATGGTGAAAGGATCCAACCCTGGCACACACCTTTCCTGGTTTTAATTTAAACCATTCAACATCCCCCTGTTGTGTTTTCACAACTGCTGCTGCTTCTTTTTTTAAAACCAAACTCACCGCCATCGAATCAATGCTGACTCCTAAGGACCCCAAAGTGGGTTCTTGAAATTGTGACTGTTTATGGGAGTAGAAAGCCCAGTCTTTCTCCCGAGGAGCTGCTGGTGGTTTCGAACTGCCCACCATGTGGGTTTCAGTCACTACTCTGCCAGGGCTTCCCCTGCACAACTGCTTCCTGATCCAGGTACAGGTTCTATGTGTGCACAATGAAGTGCTCTAGAATTCCCAGTTCTTTGCAAGGCTGGCCATCGTTCCTTATGATCCACACAATGGAATGCCTTTTCATAGTCAATTAACCCCAGTAAACATCTTCCCAGCAGCCTCGGCTTTCAGCCCAGGTACATCTCACATCAGCAATGGTGTCCCTTGTTTTACGTCCTCTTTGGAATCCAACCAGAACCTCGGCAGCTCCCTGTTCATGTACTGTGGCCATCCTTGTTGGATGAGCTTCAGCAGAAGTTTACCTTCATGCGATAGTCAAGACATTTCTCTATAATTTGAGCATTCTGTTGGGTCCCCTGTCTTTCGAATGTCTATATACAAATATAGACCTCTCCCGGTCAGTTGACCAAGGAGCTATCTCGCAAATTCCCCAGCAGTGAACAGCGAGTGCTTCCGGCGCTTCATCAGCTTGTTGAGACACTTCACCTGAGGTTCCATCCATTCCTGGAGCCTGGTGTTTGGCCACTGCTTTCAGTGTCCTTTGAACTTCAGCACCCCTGGTTCTTGCTTCTATGCTCCTGCTGACAGGGTGGAGTGTCAACAGGTGCTTCTTGGTGCAGTGCCTCTATGTATTCTTTCCATCCTCCTTTGATGCTTCCCTTATTCAATATTATGCCCATGGTATCTTTCAATTACAACTCAAGGCTTGACTGTTTTCCCCCAGTTTAAACTACGCTGGGCGTGCTCTTCTGTTTTGGTTTCTACCTCTAGGTCTTTGCACAGTCCCTATTCGATCAGACTTTGTCTTCTCGAGCTGCCCCCTGATCATTTCTGTTCAGTTCTTTGTCCCCATCCTTTCTTCCACTTGCCGTATTCACGGCGAAGAGCAAGTTTCAGAGACACGTGGTGGTGACACCAGTACCGGGCGTGTCTTTAAGGAGATCACCTTTGAGATCGAATTAGTGAACATATTAGACACCAACCCCCAAAACTCTGCCACAGAGCTGATGCGGACTCATAGCGACCCTGTAGGGCAGGGAGGACTGGTCCTGTGTATTTCCGAGACTGTAACCGTTTGCAAGAGTAGAAAGCCCATCTTTCTCCAGGAGAGCAGCTGCTGGTTTTGAATGGCTCACCTTGCAACTAGCAGCCCAACCTGTAACCACTATGCCACCCGGGCTCCTAAGTGAGGCACGGAATCCAACCAAGACACATGGGAGGGGGCTGATGTTGATGCCGCGTGGAGACCACCAAAGGGCGGAGGACCAGAGCTCACGAGAGACAAGAGCACCGCCCCCCCCCCCCCCCCCCCCCGCCCAGGAGTGGACACAGGGAGAGGCCTGCGGAGAGCCGGCACTTGACTACAGATTTCCAGCCTAAACTGTGCTCTCGTTTCTGTTCTTTAAATACTTGTGGTATTTCTGCCCGAGCGGCAGCCCTAAGACATGCAGACACCCTCTTGGTGGCTTTTTAAAAATAGAAAATGTCAAACACCCTTGTAATCCGCGGAGACAAGGCAGAATGACAGAGAGCAGGTCAGGGGCTCAGGCGGCAGGCAGCCTAGGAGTCAAGTCCCAGCAGCAGGATTTCTGTCCCTGCCACGGAGGTGTGGGCCGGGCCTTCCGAGAGCTGGCCATAGAGGACACAGGGTGCTATGCTCGCCTCACTCACCGAGGAGCTGCTGCGTCTCCAACTCCGTCAGCCCCTCTCACGGTCCCTGGCCCATCTCCGCTCTCCTCTTCCCCCAAGGGGCTGCATCAGCCCTGGCCCTTTGACTTCAGGTCCGGACTGGACACTGGGAGGTACCAACCAGAGACAAGGGCCAGGAGGAGAGAGTTGGGGTATGTATTCTTCTGGCTGGCCCTCTGGCAATGACTGTGCCCCAAGACAATGGCTTCCTCCTCCCCCCAGGGCTCCCTGTCCTTTGAGGAGGAGACAAGGGCAGGGGCTTCCCCCACCCCCGGTTGCTATTTGGGGTGCACCAGCCTCCCTTGTTGTTGTAGTTCATTGCTCACAAGCTGATTCAGACTTGTGGCACCCCATGAATGACAGAGCAGAGCCGCCCCATTGGGATTGGTTACACAAAATAGTGTGCAAAATAAACAAAAGAGTGTCAACAGTTAAGGACCCATGAGAAAACTCTCTCTTCATCCAGGATCACGATAGAATAGGTGTTACAGACAGGTTAGCGTTAACTGCTAGCTGCCCTCCACGGGCAACCCAGATACTCAAAGCCACACTTTTCTAGCCACACTACCAGGGCTCCCACCCCAGGCCCACCAGCCAGGCCCATGACCTCTGTGTGTTTTTAACGAAGGGTCACCTAGTTTCTGTTCAAAGACTTTCAGGGTAGGGCCCCTCCGCCTTCACAACGAAGCTCATCTTATATCGGGGGTTCTAGTTCTATTTCTGCCGACAGGCTACAGCTAGAGAGCTCTGCCAGGTGACAGCTTTCCAGGGACTCGGGGACAGCCATCCCATCCCTGCAGAGGCTTGCTTTTCCTAGAGAGCAGGCTGCAGTTGCTTTGAGCGAGCTTCTCTCAGACCTCCTCTTGACACCCTAGCCCAGTCCTCTGGGAGCAAGACTACAAGCCCCTCTTTTCCTCCTACCTTCCTGCTTTTCTTCTTTTTAACCAGCCTCTCGCTCATTCCTTTTGTTATTCAGCCACAAGCAGCACCAACACTTGACACCCGATTCTCTCTCTCGGTGAGCATCTATTGTAGGTCAAGTTCTGTGGTCCACATTTCCCTTGACAGGATGGTGGCAGCCCCCTTGTGGGACACTGCTGGTCCCTGTGAAGCCCTAGTGGTGCAGTGGTCATGCATTGGGCTGCGATCTGCAAGGTTAGCAATCTGAAACCACCAGCCGCTCTGTGGGAGAAAGATGGGGCTTTCTGCTCCAGTACAGAAACCCACAGGGGCAGTTCTACCTTGTCCTGTAGGGTCGCCATGAGTCAGAACAGACTCAATGGTAGTGAGTTTGGGTTTTCGATGTTTTTTTAAATCGTTTTATTAGGGGCTCATACAAACTCTTATCACAATCCATACATACATCAATTGTGTAAAGCACATTTGTACATTCATTTTTTTTTTTTTTAAGACTCTACCTTTCATTTGTACTTTTTCAGACGTCAAGATTTTAAGGAGCTTGCTCCATGTCGCCCAGCTGGCTAGGGGCAGAGCTGGGACGTTTCCCACTGTGCTTTGTGAGTGAGGCCACCTGGTCTCCTTTCTGCCCGTCATTCTGCTCCAAGTGAAAAAGCACAGGCTCCCAGCTCCCTGAGACTCGGCTCTCACCTGAGGCTCCGAGGGCCCGGCGGAGCCGGACGCCGCCCTCTGGTGGCAGGTGGGCGTCAGCGCAGCGCATGCTAATGAGCCCGCGGAGCCGCTCGCTGATTGGCTGGCGCGGATTCCAGCTGCCTCCCAAGGGGGCTGGCGCGGACAGGGAGTGGAGGGGCGCCCCAGGCAGCAGCGCCCCCAGCCCGCCTGCAACCTTCGACGCCCCGGGCGCGTGCGAGCCCCGCTGGCCGGTGCATCGGGGATCTTGCCGTGTTCGTCCTCTGTTGTCTGGATCTGAATTCGGCCAGGGTCCAGGATGACAATCCGACACCAGGGCCAGCAATACAGGCCCAGGATGGCCTTTCTCCAGAAGGTAACCCCAACCTCACCTGGGCAGGGAGGGGTGGGGGACACGGAGCCCAGAGTGGGAAGTGGCTCAGGACATGTCGGGGGGCACGGGAGGCGCGTGGGCAGTCGGGGGGGGCGCCCCTGTGAGTGCCGTTTGTGCAAGAATGATTGATTTGCCGGGTGTTTGTGTCTTTTAAAGACGGTCTCCGTTCGTTTTCTGAGTAGCCTGCTTATGGGGGAGACGGTGGCGGCACGGGGGACCGCCAGGGTGTCCGGCAGCCCGTGAAAACCACCTGTTACCCTGTTCCACCCAGGCAGTCTGAGCGACGGACTGTCCTCAGCCCTTCAACGAGCCAGCGCGCAGGGGCCAGTGCTCGGGCGCAATCCGCAGGGTTTAGAGTAGTGTGTCTGTGGGTGGGTGTGTACACATCGCCCCGGAAACGCATGCGGTTTCTAGGCCAGGGGACACTCGGGGACTTCAGGACCTCCCCACCTCTTAGACACGCCGGCCCAGACACTGCGGCCCGGGATGTCCATCCTGGCTAGGTTGCATTGAGGGACTGAATCCCCTCCTTTGTTCTGAGCATGTGAGAGGAGAGTCGGCAGAGGGTTAGGTCTCAGTCACTTGTCCGTCCTTCCTCCCCGCCATGGCCTCTTAGGCTTACCTCGTCAAGTGGAATTAGCTACATGCCCTGCGACAGCCTGGCCAGCCAGAACTCTGCAAATTAGGCCAGTTGGGGACCAGCTCCCCTGTCTTGCCTGGGACTGATTTTCCCAGAAGTGGCTAAAACTGAGACTGCCCCGGGGCACACAGAATGGCTGGTCACTGGGTCCATCTGCTTAAAGATGCTCGTGTTGGTGTCTGGGGGAGCAGAGGCACATAGTTGTACATACAGAGGCGGCCTCGCTTGGGAGAACCCCGAGAGCCTCCCCGAGAGCCTCCTTTGCAAACATCAGCTCACAGGGGCTCAAGCAGTCAGCCCCACTCTCTGAAAGCCACACACTATCTTCCAGGGCGGAGTCAGAGCTGCCCGGTTCATTCCGGGCAGGATGATGGTGGCCTGGTGCCTCAGAGTGGAGGCTTTCTGCCTCATGCTGGAATCAAAGGCTTTCTTCCTCACCAGGAGTGATGTC